ATCGTGACGATGGCGGGACCGTGCGCGACACGCACGCTACTTCCGGAAATCGCATTTTCTTGGTTTTCATCTTTAATCGAGTAGTTTTTTACTTACGTATGATAATATTTAGACACTGGAAGTGACTGAGCTAAACGTTGAAGTGATGCCTTCTTGTATGAGCATTTTATAATCCTACTAGCTTGCTTACCCGGCTCCGCTCGGGCCTGTCAAAACACTGTAATAAAGGTCCCACCCCTATCCCTGCACAGCCTTTCCCTGTGCCCACTTCTACACTTCATTTCCCGTTCCCTGTGTTGTTTTCGAAATCAGCATGCTCACTTACCCCCCTGTGCCAACTCCCAGCACCGTAGCTCAAACCTTGCAAAAAATCGATAAAATCGATAAAAGCAACCGATAATCCTGGAAACTAATATTGTAATCGGAATCCCCATGCTCACTTACCCTCCCTGTGCCAACTCCCAGCCCCGTAGGTGAACTCTGCAAAAAATCGATAAAAATCGATATCGATCGATAACGAAAGGTAGCTTATGACATGCTCCCCGCCTTGAAGTATATGTGTGCCAAGTTCGGTCCAAATCGGTTCAGAAATAAGAATTTCTATTCCGCACATACGTACAGACATACATACATACATACATACATACATACACACATTCAGCTTTATATATAAGATGGGCGCAAAATTCGCAGCAAAATCCATCGTCACGATTTTATAAATGAACTATACAGTCTGTCTCAAACAGGATCGAGCCGACTCATTGGCTTGCATTTGCGCGCTCGCAGCGGTGGGGATTTGTGCAAAGTTTGCGCGCTATGGGAACGGCCAAAGGTTGTCGGTGTTGTCGGGGTTGTCGATGTTGTCGGTGTTGTCGGTGTTGTCGATGCTGTCGGTGTTGTCGGTGTTGTCGGTGTTGTCGGTGTTCGGGGTTGCCGAGGTTGCCGGTCGTTGTAGGACCTCATGATAGCCTCCACGTTTCGCGCGCTCTCTAAACTGTCTCTGACCCCGACAACCCCGACAACACCGACAACATCGACAACACCGACAACACCGACAACATCGACAACACCGACAACCTATGGCCAGGGTTGAGCGTGGGGTCAGACGCGCCCGACCTGGGGGATCGTATTGAGGGTAAGACTGAGGGGGGGGGGGGTCGTAATCAAGAGTCGAACTTGTTATGTTGGGGAGATAGTGCAAAGGTGAAGAAGAAATGCGTTAGCCGGTGGATATCGCGATCACATGAAGGAGTGACGGTCATAAACAGCATACTAATTGTTTCCCAATGGAAGTTCCAGCCAAATTTCTAATCTTCATCTCTTTTCCCTTGACATATGAGGTCGACAAGAAGGCTTGCTGTGTGAAATGGGTATCATTTCCATAATCAACATGTCAAATCACTTCTATGCGCTCTACAAATCATTACCTACGCAGTTTCTAGTGTTTCTCAACGTCTAAGAAGCGTGATTTTCAAACATGATTAACTTGGTTTTAAAAGTGAAGAATGTAAGCTTTTCTATGCTCACAACAAAGTAATGTTCACTACAAGTCTATGCTACAAATCAGGCTTCATATCGCTTTCACACAGTGAAGTAAGAAATGCTGCCAAAATTCCAACCGGCACGTTTTTCACATTGAGTGCTTCAACTCCTCGGATTAGCACAAGGCCGAAAGAAGTCGACTCAAGCTCAAACCTTACTGTGGAATCTTCGAGGGTTGAGCTAGCGAATCGCTTAAAACTTGGGTAGAAAAACTTCTTCGAAAATAAAGTTAATGGGGTCAGGCGCAACCCCTCAAAAGGTCAGGCCGCCTGAGCTTTTGAGGGGTTGCGCCTGACCCCATTAACTTGCCTTCAGTATTCAAAAATCGCCGCTTTCTTAGCATGAGTATTGAGCGCAAAGCTTCTTCTTGTTATATTGAAAATTTGGAGCCAAACACGCCATCCCTGCGAAAATTATAGCTCTGAAACGAGAACTATCGAGATCCAAAACTTGCCGTCAAGTTGCGTAAAGTTGTGCAATCGCAGAAAGCCGGCCTAGAAACTTTTAAGAAATAGAAATCTGCATTGAAAGCTGGTTTCTTCAAAAAGATAACACTCTGAGGACGTGGAGGTGAAGCGGGGGGATCGTTTAGGGGCTTTCACAGGGGGGTCGTTTTTGAAGGACTTGTGCCTGACCTCTTGCTCAACCCTGCCTATGGCCGTTCCCTATCAGACAAAGCGAAGAGGTTGAAGAGACAGCAGACAAGCTATACGCGGACTTGGGCGCGAAACTCTTGGACACGGACCCGCCATGTTGATTTTGGCCTGATCAGGGTTGGGACAGACTGAAGTCTACTTACAGCGATTCCCCGTCAGTGCGAGGTGCCAGGAGGGGGGATATGTATTCTCACTCCATGATATGAAGGATCTGAAGGCGCGACTGTTTCAAGATGGCATCGAGCACAACAGATGATTTCGTTGCGCACTGTTATATCTTGCTTATTGCCTTTTCAATTGCATTACGGCCTCTTCATAGACGTGTATGTGGAAACATCGAATGCGGAACCGAGTAGAGCTTCAGACGGTTGCCCTTAGAGTACAAACGTGCGCCTTTTTTCCAAGCATTGCTGTTTGTACTTGTTTGTGATACAGCACAGTCCGCAGGCAATTCAATAGTGGTACGGGGGTGGAGGAACGAATATTGCAATAGGTGCCGTCTCTGGGGACGGTGTTTCCACATTATGGGTAAGATTGAAGAATGGAAGCGGCATCTATTGAAAGTGTCCGTCAGTATATTTTTGAATATTCGAAAATTTTTCGAATGATTGTATATAATCAAAAATCAAAATTATCATGGAATCAAATCTTGAATAATCTTAAAGATAAAAAATACCGATTATCGAATTTTCAAAAACCAAAATGTTGAATAGTCGAATACGAACACTTTCTAAAATAAAAATCGATTAATCTGCTTTCACATTTTCTAAATGAAAAATTCTCGAATTCTCGATATATTCGAGAACAAAAAATTTGAATTAATCGAGTATTTTGCATCAACCATGTCGAATATTTAAACAAGGACGTGGTCGAATTGGTACAATGAAGGACTGCATAAGTATATATTGTTAAACAAACAGTAGGGGTTGACATAGCAGTTGAAACAATGATGCATATCATTGGCTGACTGAGACCCGGTGCTACACAATGGAAGTCACCGTTTGAACACACTCTACACCACTTCCTTCCGTTTCCTGCTATCCTTCACTATAAACATTGGACCAGCGAGAAGGCAGGCCATATTTCCCAGCTCTTTGTACGATTCTCTGACGATTCGGGCGGCCGACCCTTTTCTTTAAAGCCATTTTATTCCTTGAAATCAATGAAAATATTCCAAAGAGCTGTACCTATTATTTAACCCATAGGTGCTAAGCATGTTTTTGATAAGCACAAATGAATCATTAAAAATTGGAAATTTCGACGAACCCTAACATTCGACTAGTTGTTCATCACAATTTTCATGATTTCGACACATCATCTGTTCTTACAAGGGAAGGATACTTGATCGCACTGACGATTGGGTAAGCGGTGTATACCGCGTATACCGCCCTCAGACGGTGATCTCTAAACCTCATTCCATATCTGCTATGACTCATTCTGGAAGAATTGTAAAGGATTTTTGGTGCAGTGGATAGTGGCTCGACCGCGGAGCTGTGCTCGTGGGTTCGATTCCTCTGAGATGCCACCCGCCTTGCATTTTTGTAAATTTTAGCAGGTAAGTTACAAAATCTGTCGACATCAAAAAAGTTGATTTTCACAATATTAAGCAATATATTTACATTTATTGGCACTGAACTATCGGCTAACCTCTTCAGATAAGTAAGAAATGACCAGTTGTGGACAGAACATTGCAGATGATTAACATGTTGTGCACCAAAAAATCGATAAAGACGCCATTTTTGACAGATTAGCTGCTCCTCTCTATGTTAAGCACGAATTCGGAATCTTTCAATAATTGAGTAAAGTATTTAACGAAAAAGGCTAAAAACGAGTGTTTCTAGGTTAGACGGTGGTTCAGTGCCAATAAATGTAAATTTATTGCTTCTTATTGTGAAAATCAACTTATTTGATGTCGACAGGCTTTGCAACTTGTCTGCTAAAAATTTACAAAAATGCAAAACGGGTGGCATTTCAGAAGAATCGAACCCATGACGTCCAGCTCCGCAGTCCGAGCCACTATCCACTCACCAAAAATCCTTTATAATCTCTCCAGAATGACGTCATAGCAGTTATGGAATGCGGTTTAGAGATCACCGTCTGGAGGCGGTATACGCGGTATACAACGCTTACCCAATTGTCAGTGCGATCAAGTATCCTTCCCTTGTTAGAACATGCTCAGCAGTGTGCTGGGTTAGATACAGTACAACTTTGGAATTTCCATTAAATTCGAGAAAAGAAAAATAAGTTGGAAGAAAAGACGATTGTCACTGGGGATGTCTATCAAAGAAGCTGGAATGCGACTTGTACAACCTATGGCTTCTGTTCAATATGCTTTTAGTGGAGGATAGTAAGAATACCCAAGGATGGAAAGAGATATGTTTCAGGATATGAAGTTTCTCTCAATTTGGGATCCCCTTCTCGCGGGAATGTTGATGCATGCCTCAATCCCCAGTCATATGGATTTAAAACCTACAACTAGTCTGATGCTCCTCTCCGGTACAGCTACACCGATTTTCAAAGAGCGACTTGCTATGACAAGAGATGCAGAAGTCTCTGTCTCTCAAAGCACTTCCTACAACTTGGCTAGATTATCAGAAAACCTTCATAATCGCTTAAAGGACTTGCACAAGTTCTGCTTTAAAGCTGCAGGTTAAGTTTCGTAAGTCAATATCTGAGGCTTGACCTGCAGCCCTGGCAGAGACTTGATTGGTTCACCACGAATTGTGAAAGAACTACATTTCCAGCATCTAAAAGTGCTCAAAACTGCATCACCAATTAGAAAAGTGCTCTAATATTGCGAATAAGCACAATAAAAATATTTATTCAATGAATGGAATTGGTGAACGGCTGCACGGCTCAGCTGAATAAGGTACTTATCTAGGTGGTAAACATAAGAGCAATCATCTATTATACAAACTTGAGCTAAAAGCAAATACGTACGTTTGCAAACTTTTTGAAACAGATGTCAACTTGAATAAGTAGTCTAAATGAAGATAATTATTAAAGGAATGATTGGAGCAATTGGTGGCTGGTGCCAGACTAAGTTAATACCAGCTACAAAGTGGCATTGTGCAGTGATATCATAGTCATCACAATATAATCACAGTGGCCAATAAGTAATAATGAAGTGACAATTGAGAAGTTGCTATACACACAGTAGAAAATTTAACGCGTAGAATTTCGCAACTCTAAAAACCCAATTAAGGGAGGCACGGCTAAAGGCGGTTGTAGAACCCTTCTATCAAACTGAAACATTCTCCTCAAGCAAGCACTTCCTCGAACGAGTTAGCACGATAAGGACAAGAATCATTAAAATGAATAAGATGCGCTTCAGCAATAAAAGGTAGTCATCAGATGATCAGCGATCTCAAGTGATTGGTCAGATACAGACAGCATGCGGCTAAATGTAATGAACGTTCCTACATTCAGACGGAATCTTCTTTGCTCATCTGCAGTGGATTTACGTATTCGAACCCATCAAATTCGCTTTGATCGATCTTCGCAATGACACTTGGATCATCCGGGGTAAGTGTAGGTGCTTCGTCTGTGAACTGCGTATCAAAGTGCTGCAGATCTCGGTCGCTCTCCACACTCGGGTTGTACGGAGGTGCGACTTGTCGTTGTTCCAGCTGAATGAAATTGATTAGCTAGCATGTATATCTGTTTAGAAAACTTGATAGAAAACAGCGATGAATGCACTATCACATTATAATCGGACATAAGCAGCCTCCATTTAGAGCTTATCCAACATAAAGTGAACCACAAATCCGCGGTGAAATCGATCATGTGAGAGGTTTGTCCTCTCTTCATCATAATAAAAAAAAAGCGTTGGTGATAGATGCCAATATTATTTTGTATGCCACACCGTCCAGGAAGATTTTTCACTGCTGTTTTTAGCCCTTTTTATTGATCTAAATTATGACCGATATTGTGCAAGCCTGGCGGCCGCGATAAAGGCTGAGAAGCGCAGAAGCAGTATTAGATGAGCGGGCGCGAACTGCGCGCACGTATCTTCACCGTTGTAAATCATGCGTCTCATGCGCTCTACGGTTAATGAAACCGCGTTCGCGCCCAAAGATATTGTCCTTTATATGCAGCAGCCTATATAGGGCACCAGTCCGAAGCGCCGCTTCGCGGCGCTCCGGACTGGCTGGTGTGTGAAGTGGGATATGACTCTCAAAGTTAGAGCGTGGAAACCTTTTCTCCTCCAAAAGTATGGCGATTTCTCAGACACTTAACAAATTCGGAGATCATCAAAGTTAAATGTCAGGATCTCCTGCTTTAAATGGTTTCCCAAGTTACATCATTAACCAAAGTGATGAATTATCGCTTCCTCTCAGCTTTCTTTGCAACTCGCGTTCTATTGTCATTCCTGAGTTCTGAGCCAAACTGCCCCCCCCCCAACTCGTTTTCATCCAAATGTTTCCTTTATAAACCGCCGAAACTACCGATCTTTTCTCGCGTTTTCAAATCCTTTTGATCTTACTTAATCGCTTTCGAATCTAGCTCCAAAGATGATGTTGAGAAAATGCGCCACCTTACACCTTTAAAGTCTGTGCACCGAATCAGGCCAAAATTGATGTGATGAGCTGCGCAACGCAAAGATTCTGCATCATGTCTGCGGCGTTTGGACTTGTCCATTCCCACTTTCATTGAACCCTCCTGCCATGCGAAATGCAGCGCAAGCCCTGACCGTTGATGTGCGGTTTTGAGCCAAAGTTTCAGCGTTATCACCATAAACTATAGCTGCCAAAGTTGCTCATTCCCACATTTGCGAAAATCCTCGGATACTCTCAAATTTTCACATCCTAAAGTTTTCTGACCAAAGTGGCCGTCACAAACCCGGCAAGCTTTTCCCAGCTATGTACATTTTCATGGCTGTTTTCACCCGGGGCTCTGCTCTCCTCATCGACTGTCCCTACGAACTACCTTAGAAGGCCCATATGAAAAGCTGGGGTGAAGTAAGCGACGTCCCTTGTCATAAAAGGGCCGCGGGCGAACACTGCTATGCTTTTCATCATTGGGGACGCCGCTTCTTTTTTTGCCACTGGGAGGATTTTCATATGGGCCTCAAAGTAACTCTTTGCGAGATTTCAGCAAGAGGAGGATTCAACTCAGCGCACTTGAATGCATTTAGCCAAAATTCTAACTTACTATTATGTAATTTCCTAAATGAAAAAACCTCCCTTCCGCCTCACGAAATATGTTTTAAAAAATTCTAATGCCAAAGCTAGCGTTCGCGTCTTATATGGGCTTTCCAAATTGTTCAACAATCTGGAAAGCCTTCCATATAAGACGCCCATTTAGGACTATAAATTCCACCCGAAATGCTCTAAAGCGCACCCATTTTCCAACTCATCTTGGTAGGCTATTGACTCGAATTCCGTAAAGAGAGCTAGTATTGAAGCGTATATCCAATTTAAGCTGTTCATTCAAGCAAATCACCGCTGTCTATACGATTTTGAGGTAGTGCAATGTTCTGACAAAATTGCACTAAAAAGCTACATGTTCCTGAGGTTAGCAAGGGTTGAGTTGATAGTTAGTGAAGCGTCCCTTTCTTTCCATCTCTTTTGTTCACAACTGGTATATTGATAGCAGACAGACAGCGTGTAGCTCTTTTCAAAACTTCTCTCACGATCACAGTAACTTTTACAGTTTTTTTTGAAATTTTCAGTCTTTGGATTAATTTAAAATCTTGAGATGAAGTGTTCTCTTAGAACCTGCGTTGCTTGCCAAGTGAGCTTTTTGCAAAACGTTTAGTGTTTCAAGGCAATTCGCATCACCATGTTTTTTCATCACTTAGGGCCGCATGCACTAACATCCCCGCGGGGAGGGGATCGCAGCTTAAAAGAAAGCTTTATATTTCGAAACTTCAGATAGCTGGATTTTACGTTGTGTGCCTATCCGTAAGTATTCCTACTACCCTTCACTATAAACATGTTAAAGAGGAGCGAGAAGCTGTACGAACCGCATTTTCCAGCTTTTGTATGATCCCTGATGATCCCCGGCGCTTTTCTTTGAAGTCATTTTTCTTTCTCCGAAGTTAACGAAAGCCTTCCAAAGTTGTACTGAACATCTAACCCGACAGTGTTAAGCATGTTCGTGATAAGAACAAATGATGTTTTGAAGTCATGAAATTTTCGATGATCCACAGATCGAAGTTTAAGGTTTACCGAAAAATTCGACTTTTCAAAAACTCTTTTATTCTCATTAGCAACATGCTTAGCACTGATGAGTTAGATGTTCAGTACAACTTTGGAAGGTTTTCGCTAACTTCGTAGAAAGAAAAATGACTTCAAAGAAAAGCGCCGGGGATCATCAAGGATCATACAAAAGCTGGAAAATGCGGTTCGTACAGCTTCTCGCTCCTCTTCAACATGTTCATAGTGAAGGGTAGTAGGAATACTTACGGATAGGTACACAATGTGAAATCCAGGTATCTGGAGTTTCGAAATATAAAGCTTTCTTTTGAGCTGCGATCCCCTCCCAGCGGGGAGGTTAGTGCATGCGGCCCTTAGTGGATAACAATTTGGAAAGTTTGCACAGTATTGATGTTTAACTATTTTCTCAAATAGGTTCGATTTTCACAGTGAGCTTAAGGAATTTTTCACGTGAAGATATGTTCAGCATGCTTCATTCGCTTCTTTTGCTTCATTCTTGTGGAAGGGTTTTCTCAGAGTAAAATTGGAAAATTTTTAATGAGATACGTTTGGTAATAAGACAAAAATGGAATGGTGCACAATAGGAAAATGGACAATGAGTGATATGATTTTGCTTGATTTTTAAGGGAAGGTTCAATTTTGAGATTTGTTTTTGCATGTAGATACGTTTAGTGGTAAAAACAGTGATCATGTGGTGCACTGATTAAGGAAGAATTGAGGAGATGTAATGCAGATATCAATGTTAAGTATTATCACCGACCTGAAGATGCTATCCGACGTTTGCTTATTTTCACAAATGAATAAAGCAAAATCTAAGGCGGTTGAAATAAACGACCGCTAACAGCGTTATAGGCGACGGAATTGGGGTTGCATTTAGCTTGACGTCGTGATAAACATCAAGGAAGCAGACGGAACACGAAGATGGCACAAAACATCATACCATTGATGACGTCATAGCTTGCACTTAGGTTGAGTCGTAACGGTAAACAGTATGGAAGCGGGCGAAAGTGCAAGAATTAACTCAGAGATCTGGGCAAACATTCTTCGCCGGTTGTTGACGTCGGATGGTCCCCCCTGCGCTTTATTATAGGGTACCAGTCCGAAGCGCCGCTTCGCGGCGCTCCGGACTGGCTGTGTGTGTGAAGTGGGATATGACTCTCAAAGTTAGAGCGTGGAAACCTTTTCTCCTCCAAAAGTATTGCGATTTCTCAGACATTCAACGAACTCGGGGATCATCAAAGTTAAATGTCAGGATCTCCTGCTTTAGGCCCCGGACAGACTTCACGCAATTTGATCGTCGCGACTAAATCGCCGACATTTCCATTCATTTTCATTTCACATTCAAAAATTTCGGGCTGGAAAAGTATCACAACCGAAATGCAAGTTGAGCGGCATGGAATGATGTTGTAACAGTTGTCTCGTCGCGATTCAGTCGCGACGATCAAATCGCGTGAAGTCTGTCCGGGCCTTAAGTGGTTTACCGAGTTACATCATTAACCAAAGTGATAAATTAATCGCTTCCTCTCAGCGTTCTTTGCAACTCGCGTTTTATTGTCATTCCTGAGTTTCTCCTCCAAAAGTATGGCGATTTCTCAGACACTTAACGAATTCGGAGATCATCAAAGTTAAATGTCAGGATCTCCTGCTTTAAATGGTTTCCCAAGTTACATCATTAACCAAAGTGATGAATTGATCGCTTCCTCTCAGCTTTCTTTGCAACTCGCGTTCTATTGTCATTCCTGAGTTCTGAGCCAAACTGCCCCCCCCCCCAACTCGTTTTCATCCAAATGTTTCCTTTATAAACCGCCGAAACTACCGATCTTTTCTCGCATTTTCAAATCCTTTTGATCTTACTTAATCGCTTTCGAATCTAGCTCCAAAGATGATGTTGAGAAAGTGCGCCACCTCACACCTTTAAAGTCTGTGCACCGAATCAGGCCAAAATTGATGTGATGAGCTGCGCAACGCAAAGATTCTGCATCATGTTTGCGGCGTTAAGACTTGTCCATTCCCACTTTCATTGAACCCTCCTGCCATGCGAAATGCAGCGCAAGCCCTAAGCGTTGGTGTGCGGTTTTGAGCCAAAGTTTCAGCGTTATCACCATTAGGGTATGATTGAAAAAAGTTGTGACGAGGCGAGACCGCGCGCGACATGCATGCATCTTCCGGCAACCGCATTTTCTTGGTATTAATCTTTACTCGACTAGTTTTTCTGCTTAGATATGATAGTACTCAGATACTGGAAGTGACTGAGCTGAGCGTTGATGCGACGCCTTCTTGTATGAGGGCGTTATGCTCCTGCGGGCGCAAAGACCCCATTCAAATCCGTCGTCACGATATTATATATGAACCTTAAAACGAAGAAGACTTGTTCTCAAGTTGCAGTAATAGAGCTCTAAAGACTAAAGTTTGCCTGAAGACTAAGCCTAACTCCCGTATAAGCCTAGATATACATCTTTACTCATAACAAAGTTTAGGGAGACAACATAAAAAGCAGTGTAGTGATTCTGCTAAAATAATTCGCATCATGTTGAAGTTTTTCCTTTGGGTAGGTAAAAGTCGAAAAATTTGGATTTTGAAAAATTTGAACAAACTTTTAACTAGCACACCGCATTCTAAAAAATATGAGCCTAATGATACAAGAACAAACTTTAGGCAAAAATCGAAGATATGGTTAAGTCACCAAGTTCAAATATTTCCTAAGAATAAAAATCTGGTCCGGCTAAAGCTTTGAGTTTTCCTTTTTACAGAAATTTTCAAAACTTTCCACAAATTACGGCGTGCTACGTGCTGAAAGTGATTCAAAAAATTGTCTCGCCTTGTTGCAAAGACGGTCCATAATGTGATAGACCGTCTTTGCAGCGTTTTAGACGTAGGAGAAAGAGAAGCTAACTTCGATTGTTAATCATGTCGAAGAATTCATGAAGAAACCCGTCGAAATATTTTTGCGTTGTTAAATTCAAAACAATAAGAAGAGAATTAACCAGAAAGATCTAGCACAGTTACTGAGATCATGTGTGAACGGACATCCGATGTCGTCCCTCTAGAGCTCTACGGATTACTGATGGTCATCCCTAAGTTTTCTTAAACTGGAAGAAAAAAGCGCCCGGAAGAAAGCCTATCCCTTGAAATCCCAAACAGGTGCTGCCAATATGAGCATTGCCGCGTGAAGTCAGAAATGGACGAGTTAAGCTATACTTGCTATTTCCACACTTTGTCGGAGGCGTTCGTGCGGGTTTTGGTATCGCAATTACAAAAAATCATTGAAGTAACCTTTTTCCGTAGCCCAGTGAAGCCATAGTCCGAATAAGACCGCATAATGTCGCTTCCGAAACGGCGACACAGCCGCACCTGAGCTCATTTGCACTCATCGCTGAGAAGGATATATCGCAAAGAAGAGAGCCCCAAACGCTGCGATTAATCCGGTACGTCTCTCTGTCTGCGAGAAGGCGAAAAAGTCCAAGGGCGGCTATGTCGTGGCCTCTGAAGCAATGATTGTGGCACACGACATGCTAGAACACATTGTCTGCACAAGTGTTACACCACATGGATAATGAACGCTCCGCATTTTTGCATACAGCGACGCTGACTATTCTGCTTTTGCCTCGAACTCTCTTTAAACAAAACCAAAGGTACGCATACGGCAGGACAAAGTCGCGGCCAACTTGTTTCCGACTGCCAAAGTCCTCATCATCAATACACAAACAAGGAAAACCGGGCACAAACTCCACAAAATAGTCTATCCATCGGACTATAACCTTAGCCCTCTGAAAATCATCTCAACTTCCTTTAAAATAATTGAACATGTGTGGCACAGCGTTTTTTGATCTTACATCTCAACTGAGTTAAACCTAGCTGCTTTCATCAGACTCGCTGATATGCACTCAATTACCATGCCCGACGGTACATCAACCATTCTCGATAGAATAGAATTTTTCCAAACTCGCCTTCACCCCCTCCCCCGTTTAGAAATATTGGAGAGAGAACTATGGCTAGTCGTAACTCAACCCTTCGGTCAAACGATCGCAAAGTTATCGGCAAATTTTGTCAAGTATGCAGCAGGCTTTCTATTAAACCGCAAAGTCCGGTTTGCCACCAACCATGTTCGGATGACAGTCGTTGGTTCTCATGAGGACTCTCTAGAGGAGTTCTAAATAGAAAAACTGCGCAATGTTTTGACTATCGAGGAAAGACTGGCGTAAGAGCATTATTGCTGATTACATCTACTTCCCTTATTATACAACTTTTCCTAAACGGCCCTGCAGAGTTGCACAGGTGCAGATGAAACGTGAGCATTTTCCGACAGCAACTCATTATTTGTTGCGGAGTGCTAGACATGCAGATTTGATTTAAATACTGGTATGCACTCATGACTATTTCATATAAATAATGAGATAACAAGGCTCAAAATTTACCGCCTCCCAATCGACCGAATTCTTGAAGAATGGATGTTCTTTCATATCAATCAACGCTTCGTCGATGTCCACCCGACAACCAAGCCGTTCTGCGGGATCCTGCAATCAAGACGAAGCTCGTCATACAACCATGCTAATTACGCTACAATACTCAAATGCTGCCGGATCAAATAACTTTAAAATCAGAGTGCCTAGCTTCAAATCTGACCTTATTCAAAAACTGCTTCAAAACTGATGCAGCTTTGACGGATAAACTTCGAGGAATTCTTATTTGCTTCTCGAGAATTATCTGGAATTACAGTACATTCACCTACAACAGATAGTGTAAAACAAAGAGTATTACCTGGAAAAGGTAATCTTCAGTATTCTGGTCAGGATCGCCTGCAGCGCCAACTATATCGAACGGCGAACGGCCAGCCATCATCTCGTACCTAGATGATCAAACTATTACGAGGAAACAATACCGATTTTCTTTGAAGTGGAAGAAAAATGACGGTTATTGAAACGCAACATTCCTGCTCAGAACGCAGTTACCTGAACTTTTACTAATTTTAGAACGCAGAAGTTTTCATGAATGGATTTCAAAAACGCGCTACTCCAAAAATAATGATAACCAATAACCACTGATAATGGAGATACTCATGAACACATTTATACACAACCGTACCAACCAGTCATGATCCTGTAGCAAAAGAATGTACTCAAACGTCACCAAACTCACATGAGCACACCCAGAGCCCACCAGTCAACACTGAAGCCATAGTCTTCACCGCGTAGAATCTCGGGAGCAATGTAATTCGGCGTACCGCAGAAAGTGGCAGTAACGTCACCTGGTCCGATGTTCTCCTAAAATAAGTTACGATAACATCACATAGACTTTGTTTCACACTTCATTTGGAAGTTTTCCACAAGGTTGCTAGCACGCAACTGTGCTGCGCACTCACATGAGAAATGGGTAAGCATGACTATTTTCAATGTAGCCTCCTGAAAACAAATTAACGAAGTCATGCTGGAAAACTCAGTTCAATTTCGGTATACTTAAGAGATTCCAATACACACTAAAACCGTTCTATTAAAAGGTAAAAAATATCCTCAGTAATCGATCAAGCCATACCTGCTCTGACATACATATGAAGTATGATGAAACACTGAAGTGACAAGTAAATCATATTTTGATTACCTTGCACATTCCATAGTCAGTCAGTTTTACGTGTCCTTCTGCATCTATAAGCACGTTGTCGAGTTTCAGATCTCTATAGATGATGCCGCGCGAATGGAGAAAGTGCAATGCCAGGATAATCTCACTGGAGTAGAATCTGGAACAAAAACTTCTGAATAAAGCATTACTCTCGAATGCTTCGTTATCCGTTCTTCATCTTCAGAAGCTTTCCACCTTGCCAAGAATAGTGTAAGGTGATTCACCTGGCATGATCCTCGGGAAGTTTGCGTTGTCGCTGCATGTGGAACATAAGGTCTCCTCCTGGTACGAATTCGATGACAAAGAACAATCGAGACTCTGTCTAGAGAATGGATGTTGAGCAATAATGTATGCAGAACTTGCGGACAATATACCAACCTGAAAGCATGAGTGAAGGCCCACGAGAAAAGGATAGTTAGAAGCGGCCTCAAACACAGATTTCTCCGTTTGCACCCAGTCGATATCCTGAATCGAAGCTAACATAGTAGAAAGCAAAGAAAACTTTATAATGAGAAATCTACCTCGTCTTCGTTGAACATCTGTTTCTTTATTATCTTGATCGCATAAATTTGTTTTGTCTTAATATGTTCCGCTTGCACCACCTTGAAAGAAATTGTACAAGCATGCCCAATACAATACAAATACCGCTTCAAACATCCATTAAATATGTAATAGAAGATAATCTTTGATTTGAGGTGAAAAATGCATATTGCACAAGATTAGCATTCTCACAAGAGTATACGAATCCTCTTTGACGAAGATTTGCGACAAAATCAACAGCGATAAAACTGAATTTCAATAAGTACGAACTTACAGTAGTGTGCAATTATGAAATTTGAAGAAAAGAATCAAGGAAATTCTCCTCACTTTTGCATAAGATCCACGTCCGATCACAGTCAGCAAACGAAAATCACTCAAGGACACCGACCACTTGCTGGGGGCAGTGCCATCTTGAGTCTGTAAAACAAGACGATCTCACATTAGTCATATGAATGGCTAGACGAGAAACTCACTCCTGTGACTGCGGCAGTTTCCTGATTGGAAACAACTTCGGCTTCTTGAAAGGCGCCATTGTCAAGCCCTTGCAGCGAAGGTTTTTCTGCACCATTCAAAGGAGGCTGATAACCACTAGTAAATGCTGCTGGAGTAGGCTGTGCAGGAATCACCTGCGTCGGCGTCTGAAAAGACGACAATTTTCGGAAACGAACTCGTACTCCAATGGCTGCATGACTCACATCATGAAGTATGGTTAAACCTACGAACACAGTCGTAGAACAGAATCCAAAGGACATATCTTTACCCATACCTGACCGCAAGCTGTTCTTACAAGACGATGGCATTTCTTGTGCACACACAGACGGCAGTCAGCACATCGATATCCTTGTCGACCAATTCCAAATATGTAGTCATGGCAGATGTAGCACTGTACCCTCCTGGAATTCATAGACCGTTCCTAAAGTTCATGAGAGCGGCGCCGCCGCAAAGCGAGTTAATAGATAGGCAAAAGCTGCGCTAAACGAAGCACATCTATAGGCTACAGCCATACCTGTTCAATCGCTTGGCCTGAAAACGATGACCGTTGAACAGATATATTTTCTTCCACCGTCGAGCACCTCTGCGATATACATTGCCTAAAACAAGTTGACTTTGAAAGTGCTCAGAATAGCATCAATCTTCTTAGTATTTGGTAGGAAGAAAGCATTATATAATTTTTACAGGCACTCACGATCTTCTCCTTCGCATGGCAGACCGGGTAGAGCCGGTTGACCCAGAAAAACGTGTATATTGAGCTCAGCATCTCCACTTTGCTGCAGAATACGAACAGCCTCATCCAGTTCACGCTGACTGTCAATCGAGACTGGATCACCTGAAAATGGCATGAATCCCGACTTTCAGAAAAACCGCCTTCATCTAAAAGTTCCGATCCAACAAAGACAAAATTTACCGTCTTCGTCTATCCATTTGACTGTGATTGGCTGTGAACTGGGTTGCTGACACGCTTCCTTGAGCAGAGCAAAAAACGAGTCCAACTGAAGTGGCGGACGAGCATATAGCACCAAAACCTGAGATTGATATGGTCATAGAGCAGGCGGTAAAAAATAGCACTTGCCGCCTCTTTCAGTTCGCGATTCAGTAATAAAAGTCGTCTTAAGACTTCTATGTACACATCTTAACCTATCGCCATTATGGTGATACGATTTATCTTTTCGATCATCTTTTCTTGATTTCCTATTTTGCTCCTTATTTTCCAACAAAGGCTAGTATTGATAAAGCAAAAACGTCGAAGAGTAGCTGACTTGAAACTACACGCTTATATGCATGCTCGCAGTTTGGTATATGCATAAGGTGCTTCCAGATTCGCGTGGACTTCCCTGATTATAAGGATAAACTTCTCCACGTTATAGCGTTGCTTTTCGTACTCTCTCGCTGTCAAAAACCTCCACGTTCTGACTTGGCAAGACTCCAAATCCGTACGAGTGGGGAGCCGATGATACCTGTTGGATGGGTGCCGAAGTGCAATAGTATGCATGCCTTATGAGCATGAATTCACTCCACTGTTCCCTCTAAGCCAGTGTTATAGATACGTACGGTTCTCTGGGAAAAAACTGACTTTGCATTAGTAAATAAGTGACATGACTAATTTTCCTCTGGCTTGGTGGACCAAAAAAAAAAACACTAGCGTAACATCCTCTACTGCCCTGAATCTTTGCATCACAGATCCCATATCAGAGTTGCTGGAACTGCAAAACGCAGTTTCACACTTGTTACATGTAGTGGGGAGATGGCTCATGAAGATCAGTCAGCAAAAGTCAGCAGATAAATATATTAGTCATTAACTAAACTGAGTCGAATGCGCTAAGCATACGTCGCTTCACAAGCTAAAACTTGTTTCTTCATATTGGTTGGAACAGTAAGCATTCAGAAAGAAAGTTAAGCGCATATTACAACTTTTCGGTCGCATGTAAGCATAACACGTGTTTTCTAAAAAAAAACAAAACAAGATGTGTATAACAAACCTGGCCCAAGAACCGTGTCTTCAACTTGATGTCGGTTTCTTCTTCCATCACCATTATAGAGGCGAAATTGTTGATTACCAGTCAGCGCCGTTACTCACTCTTCGAAAATGATATCAATCAAGACACTAAAAAACGCTGATGCATTAGTATGGGTCATCGCCATGCATCATCGACGCCATTAGCTGCGGAGCGCGAAATCAATGTGAATGATGGTTCCTAGTGCGCAGAATTTGATCGTCTTTTGGTGGTTATGATCGGATTTCATAAGGATGAGAGAGCAGCTAGTATTGATGAGTTTCATGAAAATTTACTGGAGTTACTGGTAAAAATAAGTGTATCATCTATTCTGAAACTAGGAGGCAGGGCTGCTTTGCACACACCAAACAAACCTGTACTTGTTCTCCCTTCTTTCCAAGTAGTAAATAATCTAGTTGAATTTGGTATATAAAGAACCGTTCGCTCAATTCAAAGATCTTCCAATAGCGGCAAACCGCGGTGGGTCCCGAAACGGACGCTCTTCCAAATAGTACCTTTAGATTACTGGTTCACTAGTAAATTACAACCAAACCTATTAACACACTTTAAAGCTTGTTTAACAAGTGTGCAAAGCGTTCTCGAGTCTCCTATAGTTGATTCGTTGATTGCACGACTGGGCAACGCTGCGGAACACGCGCTGCAAACAGAAGTTTGCACCAGTACAAATTCGCCTCTGTACAAGCCGTGCTCTTGCGACAACTGGGTAGGGGAACGAAAGCCGCCAGTTTGAGCCGCCTTTCGCGGCTAACTGGTCCTTTCGCAACGTGTTGCATGTCGTTCGAGGACCAGCAGTCCGCGCAAGCGACCGAAGCTGGCGGCTTTCGTTCTACCCGCGACAACTGGGTAACGGAACGAAGGCCGCCAGTTGGTCCGCCTCTGCGGACTACTGGTCCTGCAACGACATGCAACAACATTGCCAAAGAACCAGCTGGCCGCGACACGCGGCTCAAACTGGCGGCCTTCGTTCCCCTACCCGCGACAATTCAGCCGCGCCACGCGTGGACCGCAAGGTTTGAGCAGTCCATGCGGTCAACGAATCGACGATATCTAGTTTCAGAAGAATATTTCCAAAGTTGAGGAGAAGGTCACTCACAAGTCTTTTTGGAACGACCCCTCCCTCCTCCCCTAGCAGACCCCATCGACCTTCTTCCTCCTCTTCCCTCAGGAGCCTCAAATGTGACATTTTGGAGGGCATCGTTCTGTGCTAAACAGTTTTTGTAATTTCTCTGCGAGTGCACTTTTACAAGCACATGTAATTTGGCGGCAATTTCCCCGCGTGGGGTGTTTGGTTCCAAATTATCACTGTAGCAAAAAGAGGCTATGAGCTCAAAACTTAACCTCGAGTCATTTGTAACTTAATGTGTGAGATTGCACACTAAGCTTTATTAGCGACGGCACCCACACTAGTAACTTCCGAGTAAAACATCTTCTAGCCTAACAAAATGTAGAAATGCGTTCTACTAACTATCGTATAACCAATCAAAACAAAAGAAACAAGAAAACAAGGAGAAATCACTGGAAATGAGCAGGTTCTAGTTTTGCTGTTTGTCAGTTAACGTGTAAAGTGTGCACTACGCATATTAAGTTGCGAATGACTCGACGATATATCAGGAATGGTGCGATTTATGAAATTTGAAAACATCGGGGGGTCAGGCACAGGGCTACAGAAGCTCGAGCAGCCTGACCTCTTGTGGGGTTGTGCCTGACCCCATTAAGTTTATAGACTCTTATTCACCCATATTCTGTGTGATTCGTTAGCACAAACCTCGAAGATTAACCATATATAAATATAACTCAATCTCTGTAAATTTGTTGGTTTGTAAGTATGTGGCTTATAGACTCCTTTGTTTGTGAACCGATGAGGCTGAAATTTGCTCCCTTATAAATGAGGCACGGCGCAGAAGATAGGCTACTTTTCGCGACGATCACTGGGTCCTTCCATCATTCATTCATCTGTTTACTTACATGTAGGAAAATGAAAGCTTTTCATGTTTTGACCAAACATTTCCTGTAGAAAAGTGGGGGTGTGTTTCATTTACTCTTCGCAGCGAGGAGGATGCGGTGTTTCGCAGCGGGAGAGCAAGAAAGGAAGACAAAATCCTCCATGGAAACGGCTGCACGATTCGGAACAAGAACATGGAAAAGGAAGGAGCAGTGAAGATGAAGTAACAGCCAAGAAGAAGAAACTTTTGTGCTTTGCCGAACAAGTTTAGCCTCGTCCGGGCTGAACCGGAGACGCCAGCTAGTACAATATATGTTTAAGCTTACTCGACTTGTTTCGGATTTTTGGTGATTCCTGGAGAAGCTCAAGATAAAAAAAACGGTTGGATTTTGGCAGCACTTTCCATTATTTGAAAGCGATATAAAGTCTAATTTCCGGCGTAGATTGATAGAGAGTACTTTATCATGAGTAAAAAAAAGCTAACTTTTTTCATTTTTGAAACCAAATCAGTCATGTTTGAAACTCACGCTTTTTAGACGCTATGACACTATAAAATGTAAAATAGGTGATGTTTGTAAAGGTCGTGAAGGTAATCTAGCATGGTGATTGCGGAAATCATACCTAATATACATAGTAAGTTTCTTTGGTGACCTCACGGTATGCGTAAGGTAAGAGATGGGGACTGAAATTGGCTTACAAGGAAAGGATACTTGCTGACCCCGGCCATGTGGAATGCAATGTATACCATAGGGTTGTTTCAGACTGCCGCACTGCCGCAGCATTGCACTGACCGCACTGACCGCGGGACGGCACAGATCGCTGCATCCTTTCGTGAAGGTGGAGAGGATAAATGGTTGTAGCTCAAACAGTCTCTTAACAATATATGCCCCAATAGACAACACGAGCGGGAGTAAAATAGTTATATGCAATGAAATAAAGATTCATAATAAATATGAGCATACTAAAGAAAACAATAGCCAAAATTTGATTGAGAAGAGTAAGTTAGAACCTATGAACTTTCTAGGCGTAAATCACGGTGTTTTCATGTATTCGCAACCATTTTTTCTTTTACGAAAGGATGCAGCGATTGTGCGGTCGTTGCGGTCAGTCCGACCAGCTGCAATCTGCTACAGTCTGCTGCGGTCAGTGCAGCCAGCTGCAGTCTGCTGCAGTCTGTTGCAGTCAGTGCACTGACTGCAACGGACTGCAGCAGACTGCAGCTGACTGCACTGACCGCAGCAGACTGTATAAGCTCCTGCAAGACGAAGGCGGTCGGTTCGAGGTACGACGTAGCTGTGACGCGGCTGTGACTCGGCTGTGACGCAGCCATGTCGCAGCCGCGTTGCGCATTGAATCGACCGCCTTCGTCTTGCAGGAGCTTATAGCAGACTGCAGCTGACCGCACTGACCGCAACGGCCGCACAATCGCTGCAAGCTTTCGTAAAGGAGAAAACAACTGCGATTATGTCAAACCACGTGATTTACGTCTAGAAAGTTCGTAGGTTCTAACTTACTCTTCTCAATCAGATTTTCGCGATTATTTTTCTTATGCTCATATTTGTTCAGATTTCTTTTGTCACTTCATATACCTATTTTACTCCAGCTCCTGCTGTCTATTGGGGCATATATTGTTAAGAGACTGTTTAAGCTACAACTATTTATCCTCCACCTTCACGAAAGGATGTAGCGATCTGTGCGGCCCCGTGTTCAATGCGGTCCCCTGCAGTCTGCTGCAGTCTGCTGCAGTCAACTGCAGTCAGTGCGGTCGTCTGCTGCGGTCTGCTGCAGTCTGCTGCGGTCAGTGCGGCAGTCTGAAACAACCCATAAGGTGCATCTCGAAACGCTGATTCCAATTCTGCGCTCGAAATCTGCGAATCGATCATTTAAAGGCAGTTATGAACTTTTTTTCGTGGAGAATTTGCGTACTTTGAGGTAGTTCAAACCACCCAATTTGATCTATTTTATAAGTTTGAAGCTATTGAGGAGATTCTTGAAAGGTGTAACGTTGTATTTATATCCATCTAACCATATTCAGCATTTGAAGAGGAAAGAAAATTGTTTATTAATGATTTTCACCCTCCGCAGTAGCGCAATTTATTGAAAAAATAATCATAACTCCATACAGTTTCTCGTTTCGCAGATATAGAAAACAGTATTCCATAACCTTCCAAGTTCGCCTTTCTATAAATCTTGGCATCTTGATAAACAATTATGTGCAGTTGTTGAGCCTTATATAGCCAAGATTGTTAAAGTCGTTTATTAGGCTAACGTTTCGGCTTTTCGCCTTCGTCAGAGCCTAAAAAGCGAGGAGCAACTGAAAGTTATCCACCAGATGTCTCATACACAAGGTAAAGTCCAAAGCTGCATTTCGCGTAGACAGCTCACCTCTTCGTCGAGCAAGGGGCTGTTACCACCACTCGTAGGCGTTAAATGATTGATGAGCTAACGTGAGTATGGATGATGTTCTTATATCAAAACCCGCATAATTCCATAAATGGTGCGAGTTCCTTCGTTATAGCAACACACTCTTCCTTTCTATTCATTTTTGGATTCCTGGTAAGGATCCATCTGGCTTCTGAAGTTTTACGAGCTGCTGCCTCTGTTTCTCGCTCCAGAATCGACACCGAAATATCGAACTCTGCTTCTTCGTGGTGCAGCTTTCGATGCGTGCCCAGCGGAGTTGACATTCTTATGTTGCGCATTCCGTCCATGTGTTCCTTAATTCTGAGACGCAGTGGTCTACCCGTCTCCCCGATGTATTCATCGCCACATGCTTTACACTTCAAAAGGTAAATCACGCCCAAGCACATGCAATCGCCTTGTTTATTCGTGGCGCATATCAAGCAATCCGTTTCTGTGCAAGCTTTATCATTTGCTCTATTTCGTACCAAGCGCCGTTTAAGGTTTGGAGGGGGTATTTCGACAAGCCGCAATGAATCTTGCAACCCAGCTTTTCGAACACATTTTCTAATCGTGCTGCTCAATGTATCTGAAATGAAAGGGAAACAGAATGACACTTTATCGCTAGGGTTTTTACGCGGTCTGATGACGCGATGTACTCTTCTGGGTTGATATCCTTTAGCTTCAGCGATTTGGAGTGCTTTCTTGACTGTCACAGCCTTTAGCCTGCCGTCAGATGACACCATTTTGGCTGTTCGGATCATGTTTCCAATTACACTGATTTTAGTACGGATAGGATGCGCAGAAGAGTAGTGTACAAGGATATTTTTGTTACTGGGCTTTCTGTACCAGCTGGTCCTGTACTCTCCTTTGTTCAAGTTTATCTGAACATTGAGGAACGGAAGCCACTCGTCCTTTGGCTTTTCCCTAGTGAATCTTATGTTAGCTGATTGCTTATTAAGTAAATCGAAACAGACATCCATCTCTGTCTGTGTTGAACAAACGATGAGAATATCATCGAAGTAACGACAATAGAGAGTGGGCCTGCGGGCTAAAATGCAATTTTCTATTTTTGACATGAAGCTTGTAGCTAACGCGGGTGCCAAGCGTTGCCCCATTGCAAGGCCCCTGATTTGTCTAAAATATTGTCCTGACCAGCGGAAAATCGAACATTCTAGACATCCTTTTAACAGCACCATTATCTGCTGGACTGTAAAACCCAATAAGCTTATGTTGTTGATGTTATCGCTTAAAAGCTCGTACACGGCTTGTAGTGCAGCTGAATTTGACACATTGGTGTAGAGTGCTGTTACGTCAAATGATTCGATGACTTCGTTATCGTTGTATTGTGTATTCCGCAGGCGTTCAAGCAGGGCATTAGTAATACTCAAGTGCGCAGGGACGTATTGCAACAGTTGTGTAAGAATAACATTGAGTAGCCACGCGATCCTGTCTGTAGGGCCTCCGACGTTGCCTATGATGGGTCGAACTTTGAAGTTCGTTGGATCTTCCGAAGTTAGCAAGTCGGCAGGTATTTTGTGTGTTTTTATAAGAACATAAAGAACAGGACAGATTGGTAAATCACATTTGAGTCGCGATATAACATTTTTAGCTATACCCGCACTCTTCGCTGTCTCTACCCAAAGTCTGTTCAATTTTCGGTACTGTTTGGTGAATTCTTTCTCTGAAGTTTTGCAATATATGCTTTCGTTTCTAAGTGCTGTCGAGTGATTGCAATTTCCAGCTCTTTAGGTATAACGACGAATTCGCCGCCTTTATCGCTAATAGTCACCTTGATAGCATTCGCGGCTGCAAGATCCCGAATTTCCTTTAGACCCCTATAATGCGCTGCTGTCAAATTGGATGTTTGGCGTTTACGTATCTGTTTTCGAAGCACACTAAAAACCGATGTGGCAAAAACCCTAAAAGCGGAATCTACTAAAGGCACTGGCTCTTGCGGTTTGAAATACATGGACGGGAACGGTATTGCCGGAAAAGTTGTTACTGATCTTTGATTGGTCTGCTGCTCCATTTTGGCCCTATAGCGCAAACGATCTTGAACATATTGTAAATTTCCTACAATTTTCCGTACGACTGCTGGGCTTATAGATTGCGTAGGCGAGAATGCTGGTCCTAAGTTTAGCAGAGAATGTGCATTTTCTGACAATGTGGTGCCGCCAATGATAGTTACTCGCGATGTTTTTAGCTCATTATCACTAGAGTCCTCGAAATGGTGGTGATTTGACCCAATGGTTGCGGTGTCTTTTGGTGGCATGCTAGGCGTTTGCGGTTGTTCTTTTTCTAGCAGCTTATTGAACTTTTCCTGTAACTTTGATTTGACATTGGAACGGATAGAATTACAGATGCTCTTTGACTCACTTTCTATTCCCTTCCAAAGACTACTCGGCAAAAATCGCTGACAACTTGATTCTTTAGACAAACATTTCTTAATCATTGCATACATATGATCTCTTTTGTTCTTCAATGCCATCCTCAGAAGTTGTCGTTCGAGTTTTCGGACTTGCCGGTTGTCTTTTGGAAGACCTTTGAACTTTTCCTGTAACTTTGATTTGACATTGGAACGGATAGAATTACAGATGCTCTTTGACTCACTTTCTATTCCCTTCCAAAGACTACTCGGCAAAAATCGCTGACAACTTGATTCTTAAGACAAACATTTCTTAATCATTGCATACATATGATCTCTTTTGTTCTTCAATGCCATCCTCAGAAGTTGTCGTTCGAGTTTTCGGACTTGGCGGTTGTCTTTTGGAAGACCTAAAGGCACGCTAAAGGCTGTGTCAGTCAAGAAAGCACGTTCCTGTCTTTGAGAATCAGATCGCTGCCATCCATGTGAGTAAAGATGGGGGCATGTTAACGCATGAAGAATTGGATCAGGGTCTACTGATCAAGTCCCGAGGTGGTAATACTATAATTCCTCACCAAAGTTACAATATCGATGCTCTCACATACCCACTTTTGTTTCCTCGTAGGGAGCAGACATTTGTGAAAGAAAAATTGCCAAAAGCGAAGAGAAGCAGCAGTTCGTTAGCTTCAGTTGAAGAACATAATGCAGGCAACGAGTTTATCGAAGACGGCGAAGAGGTAGAGAACTTAGAAGAAAAATAAGGTGCTACGACGCGATTCGTTTCGCGTAGGGAGTTCGCTTTGTATATATTTGCGCGTCGAGGAGATGTAAGAAGGAACCGCATCATCGGTACTGGGAAGTTGTATTCGCAATATGTTTTACATACATATACTCGAATTGAAGCCGATCGCCTGTGCTCAGTTGGATTGCATAGAACGGAAGTTAGGAGCTCTACTGTGAGCTCACTTTTCAAGTACTTAGACGGGAAACTCAATGAAAAGGGAGTGAAACTGGGCAAATTAGTAGATTTGCCTCAAGGTTTTGTTGGGAGTCGGAAATGGTACCAGAAGTTGTATAGCGATGCGATGGCTGCTGCTCAGCGGCTGGGAAAGCCCGATCTTTTTGTGACGTTCACGGGGAGTCAAGATTGGCCCGAAATCAAGAACGGAACCTTTTCTTTGCTGTCGCGTTTTCTTTCTACGATCGAGGGAGCTTATGAATGACATTAAGAAGAAGGAGATTTTCGGGAAAGTAATAGCTTTAACTGCAAGTATTGAATTTCAGAAAAGGGGTATGCCTCATGCTCACCTCCTCATTACATTAGCCAACAAGTTTGATACTCCTGAAAAAATCGATGCGATTATCTCAGCGGAAATTCCAGAGTTTCCAAGTTTGGAAGATCCTCATAAGGAAGAGAAGCTGTTGCTGCACAATCTCGTGAGGAAGCATATGATACATGGTCCATGTTCCGAGCGACCAGATCTTGCTTGTCGTGAAGGGGATGCTTCTAAATGTGTGCGTGGGTATCCTAAAAGTTACCGGGACAGTACGGAGATATGCACTGGCGGCTATCCCTTGTATCGCAGGAGGAACGACGGAAGAGTTGTCCCTGTAGGGAAGCTGGGAAGGACTTTTGCTTCAAATGTGGATGTAGTGCCTACGAGTCGCTATTTATTAATGAAACATCAGTGCCATGTTAATGTAGAAGTTTGCTCTGCCATCCAAGCTTACAAGTACATCTTCAAATATGTATTCAAAGGGCCGGATGCAGTTGTATTAGAACTTTTAGAAGACGATAAACTGATGGAGAAAAACTCGTACTTCAATGAAGCAAATGAGAAATGTGTAAATGTTGATATGCGTGAGGTTTATAGGACGGCTAGGTACGTCTCCCATATAGAGGCAGCTTACCGCATATTAGGATACCCTCTGCAGTACTCGAGTCACACGGTGATATCGTTGCATCCCCATCTACCGAATGAGCAACCGGTGATTTTCACCAAGGTGCCTAGCAAGTCTAGGGTGTATAAGAGTAAACTGATAGCGTATTTTGACCTTGTTGCGATGGATGAGAAGGCCAGGAATATGACATGGGTGGAAGTAGCAGAGAACTATCGCTTTGTAAAGGGTAGGTATGTGCCTTATAAAGTGAAAAGGTTTCGCATAGCAAGGTTATGTTCTGTGAACCCTAAAATGCTCGAGTTATACGCCGTGAGGAAACTTCTTTTACATAGGAAGGGTGTACGTTCGTTCGAGGATTTGAGAACTCACAACGGCATACTGTATAATTCTTTCATGAAAGCTGCTGAAGCTGCAGGATATACTGTTCGGAGTACGGAGTGGGAAGATTGTTTGCGCTGTGCTTGTGTTACTGAGATGCCTAAAACTATACGAGAGCTTCTTGCGCATATTTTGCTGTATTGTAAACCTTCTAATACGGTATATCTATGGCATAAGTTCAAAAGTGAAATGAGAACGAAGGACGGGGAGGAAAGCATCGAAGATTTGAAGTCTTTAAGGGCCGTTGAGAATATTCTCATTGCCAATGGGATGAAACTGAGTGACTGTGGGCTTGATGTGGTTCATGTGAAATTGTTGATGAAGTGGGCTCAGTTTCGAATATGTTGATGCGTGAAGAACATGAGGAGTGCGAAAATGTCGATGATAAAAACGATTTGAACATGTTGAACAGCAAGCAGAAGGACATAGTAGTGAGAATACTATCGCTAGCAACAACAAAGAAGACGAGTGGTGGTAGGATGTTCTTTGTGTACGGCAAAGCTGGATGTGGTAAAACGTTCACATTCAATGTGTTGATTCATGAGCTTGAAAACAGGGGTTTGTCTGTACTTGCGGTTGCTTCTACTGGTATCGCAGCTACACTGCTTAAGAACGGTCGTACTGCACACAGCACTTTCTCACTGCCCTTGAAGCGATTAACCGAGAATTCTGTCGCGAATGTGGATGCAGCATCATTGCAGGGTCGCATGTTGCGCACAGTGGATGTGATAATTTGGGATGAGATATCAATGCAAAGCCGTTTTGCCGTTGAGTGTGTCGATAGACTTCTCCGTGATGTTGCTGCTCCAGAGAATAGAGACCAACCATTTGGAAGCGTTGTGATGGTTTTTGGAGGTGATTGGTGCCAGTTTCTACCCGTTATACCTGGGGCTTCCAAAATGGAGACTATAAATGAGACTCTCAGAGCAAGCTACGTTTGGAATGAACTTGAAGTGTATGTGCTTGATGAAAATATGAGACTTCGTGCAGGTGAGGAGAGTCACGCTGCTTGGCTTCGAGGTGTCGGAGAGGGCACAAATATGATT